TGCAGGGATCATCCATTCCTGATTCTTGTTGGTCAGATGAGAAGAAAAATCAAGTCAGTTTTCTTTGCCTGAGCAGCATGAGAAATGCTCTGCCTGGGAACGTGATTTTTGACTTATGTTGTCTTCTCTGAAAATCTTGTCTCAGTGCCACCTGCGCTCCACAGATTTGCTGAAAACATGGATTGCAAAGAACAAAAAGGTCTTGGTATCAAGGGGTGCACAGAGCTGGGATGTGAATGCTGCTTGTGTTCACCCCAGTGTTGTGGCTTCAGTGCTTAGCTCAGTGCTCGGGTTCTTCATGGTAAAAACATCTAATTCCACCAAGTGTGTTTTGTTTTTCAACAAGTAATTGAACAACTATGGGTTCCAGGTAATGTTTAGTGAAGGAATGCTTAATGATCCTTTTTGGACAGGATGTGAGCTCTCTGTATAGAAACAATTCATCTTGAATGCTTCAAGTTAAGAAAAAAATCCACTAGGAATAATATTGAGCATTCTCCATGCACAGCTCGTTTAAGAATTCCAGAGCAATTCACAAACATTAGCTCAGAAAGCTTCACAACACCCATCTGAGATCAGAAAAAAAAGCTGAGATGTTCCTTGTCAGCATGGCTGTGGCACTGGGAGCAGTGAGGCCAAAGGCTCTCATGGCGTGTGGTGGGCACAGGGTAGGGCAGACTCAGCATCAAAGCTGCCTCCTAACAGGTATGGGAGAAATACCAGATATGGAACAGAAATGCTGTTGTGCTCAGGCAGTCCTCAGTTGATGAGTCGGTCTCTGGAACTCGCAAACTCTAAAAAATAATAACCAACCCAAGGCAGATAAAATTAGAATGAAAATGTGGCTAACACAAATGTAGTTTTACGGGATGCTTGAAACTCTTGGTGGCATTCCTGCAATGGTGTGCAGAAAACCTGAGTGCAAGGGAACCTCCAAGAGAGGAGATTCTGTCAGCCACAATGGAATTCCAGCTCTCATTCAGCTAAACAGCTGGAAATTGTTTGCAGATTTTGGGATAGCTGAATTGATGGCACTGACTTATCTATGCTCAATAGAAATGAAACTAGTCATCTCCCTTGTCTTGATATGGGAGATCACTCCTACAGCATTAGTACCCCATGTTGATATTAGGGTCCTTTTCGAGGTTTAACTTAAAAAGAAGAGCCATGACTGTAGGCAGCAGTTTGTAGGATGGGGCAGTCATTTGTGATGTTCCTGTCCAGACACCCCAAAGTTTTGCAGGACAGTGTGGTGTGGCACAACTGTTAGGAGATTTCTTCTCAACTCCAATAGGGCCGTATTGGATACTGATGAAGGAAAGAATTTCTTGGCATACCTCCTGCCAGGAATATTATTTGCACATGAAAATTTCTGCAAAGTGTTTGTAGCTAAGGTAGTCATTTGTACAGATTGGTGTGAATAAGTAATAATGGTTCATAGACTAAATATAAAAGCTCTGCCTAACCTTGATATTCAAAATGAATAAAGTTGGACAGCACAAACTGATGGGGTGGTGCCTCTGAGAAACTCTGAATAAGGAGTCCCGAGCCTTTCTTGTTACTTGGTGCCAATCATGAGCCCGAAATCAAAACCCTTAGTGCTTTTAACTAATTACTATACGTGAAATCAGAACTCCATGAAAAGGGAAGAGGAGGTGCTAGGCTGTGGACATCCTCTGATGTCAGAAGAGGAATTAGAGACTACCTGCAGTGTGGCTCAGCCCACCTGCACGCCTTAGCATGGAGACAAAATCATTGCTTTCTTTTCAAAGTGATTTTTGAGAGTGACGAGTAAAGGAATGAGAGTGGAACCACCACCCCACGGCACGTACTCAGCAGCCTGTGCAGGAGTGCAGCGGGTCTGCACCCTTTCACGCTTTTCCCCTTCTCATAAGTGCTTGCTGTGCTCCCGTGAGGCAGTACTGCTACAGAATGGTTTGCTGGGAGATGCCTCAGTGGTACAATTTAGTCCTAAATAATTGCTAATTGCCTCACAGCAAAAAATCAGCTGGATTTCTGTGCACAGGTAGAGTTACTTTTTACAGCTAAAGGCTGGCACAGCTTGGAGAGGTCGTAAAACAGGGTCTAATCCTCCATGTTCCTTACCTTTTAAAAAAACATGACTCAAACTCTGGCCTTTCTTCAGGCCAGATCCATGGCTGAGCCTCACTGGAGTCAGCAGGATTGGACCGAGTCCCTTTGCATAGCTAGATCTGCCAAGCTAGAGGCAAAGCCAAGAGTTTTTTGGAAGACCGGTCATTTGTTACCTTAGAATTTTTTGGGATAGAGGTCATTACTGCTAATGTAAGTTGTGAAAAAACAAAAAACATTAGAAAAAATAGAAACAAATTTTCATCTGATGTTAGTCACTGCCTTTGAAGTCAATGAATCATTGAAATCGACTTTCCCACACCAAGCTAAGATATGGCCCGGAGTCAATATACTTGTAGTTGTTGAAAAATTAAAAATATGAATTTGCCTTTCCCTGGCAATAATGTTCTGTTTATGACAGAGGTCTAACTGTTTAAAATACATACATTGACCAATAAGAAAGTAGTAGTTTACTAGCTGTATTCTTTTATGTCTAACTATCATAAGATTGTATTAAGCTTTTTAAAATTGGCTCTACAGTTTGATGAAACTAATAGATTTCAATTTTGTATTTCCATAGATTCTTCCTAAAGTTTTTCCTCAAGTGCAATCAGAACTGTTTGAAGAATGCAGGCAACCCACGAGACATGCGACGATTCCAGGTACAGATGTCTCCTACAGACACCATATAGGATTTACTCGAAGTTTCAAACTTCTTCAACTCTTGTTTAATGAAATTCTAGTGTCAGTCTTCTACTTAGTGTAGTTTCAATGCTATGTATCCAAAATGCTATGGCTATTTTATAAATTCCCCACTAATCTAAATGCTTGTTTCTGGGACCTGGCCAGTTCCGCAGTGGGCTGTTATGGATCATCGTGATGGGTACCTTCTCAGAAAGCACAGTTTTCAACACCTCCATTGTAGTATGAACTGAGACTTGTGGAGATTTTACATATGTAAACCACGTAAACAGCTGTTAGAAATTCAGCTGCTGAACTTGGTGAAGTCTGGATCTAGTTTTTCCTTTCACGTTTACAACTTGTAAATCCAACAGCAGAGGTATCACACACATATTTTTATCTGAATTTTATTAGAAAATGCTGAATACTTCACTTTCTCCTTACAGCTTTTGAATTATCTTGTGGTGAATGATAACACTTACAGAAAGACATCTGATGTGGTGGACAAATTATTTCCTCTGTATTTGGGGTCACTTGAAATGCTTGCTAAGAACTATACATGTTTTGTTTCAAAAGGATTTCCAAAAGGTTCATATTTGAGACTAATAATAAGCTAGTATTGAGATGTTCAAAACTTTCCTAGTTATGAGAAGAATAACTTGTGGTTAAACTTGATAGCAAAACATGTGACATCTGTTTTCATGCACAGCCAACCAACCGGTGAAGCCAGAACACTTGAGCCAGCCAACAGAAAAGATCTGTAGCTGGGAAAAATATTTCTTCAAAACAATTGAGCCAAGCTTCCATTTTTCATGCATCTCAGCTTCACGTGGCATTGGTGATATTGATCCATCTGAACAGAACAGAAGGTCAAACCTGGAATGAGTGGAAATGCCCTCTTTGTCTCACCGATGACTAAATGAAGCATCAGTCATGAGTGATCTTGTGGTCGACAATGGAACCAGTAGACACTAGAAAGACTTTCCTGGGTCTCTTTAGCTAATCTCCCTGCCTCTCAGAAGGTTTAAGTGGACTTAACAGTACGTCAGATCTTGAACAAAATTTTTAACTGGTTTCACTGTCTCAGCACCTTTTTAGGTGTGTTGCAGGAAGAAGCCAATATAACAAAACACAGCATGTCTACTTTCTTTTGCTGAACTACAGTATTTTTCCCTTGGTGACTGACCTATATATACATGACAGAACAAAAATAGTTGTCATTTTTATATACACCTTTCCCTGTCTTCTTAATATACTGCGTTCTAGGAAACAAATCCAGAAGTCTTTGCTGAAATTCACACCTGTATGTTTTGCACTATTTTTTAAAGTCTGCAAATCTCATTACAAGTGAAAGCCGATAGCCCAGTGGCATGGCGGCAGCTCTGCGCTTCGGTGAGTGTGCAACCTCAGCACTCTCCAAAGTGGATGTCGACAGGAGGGAAAGTGTCCACTTCTGGGACGAGAAAGATAGGGGAGCAGAGCAGACTGGCAGAGAGCTGCCCTCGGGCTGTTCGAAAGGAGAACGCAGATGGCTGTCTCAGAGGAGGCAGAGTACACAGAAAAGGTGCTGTGATAGCTGAAAGCTAATTATGGGTTGTGAATAAGAAGCAGGATCAGAGGTGATCCAAAACGCAGAAACAGATAAGAATTGTCTTCTGATGCCTGAGACTAGTGCCGTGGAAATGGAGAATAGTTTTTTTTCCCCTCTTTTTTTGCTCATTATGTGCTTGGGTATGGGAGCTGGTGTGAGAACCCTGAAAATCATTTTTGCTATGTCCAAAAGTAAAATAAGCAGAAGACAAAAGCTAAAATTTGTCCTAGCCTTTGCCACCATCTCCCATGCTGTTGGTACGGCCTAACACAGCCTCACACAGCCACTGCCCACGAGAACTCTACTAATGCTAAGCCACAAAGAAAAAGCTACTGTGATTATTGCATTTAGCAAATCTGGAACCCGCACCATAGGGCCCATGCTGGAGCATTTAAATAAGATGTAAAAGTCTATCTGGGATAATAACAACCAACCTGTGAAGCTACGTCACACACAACACACGCATGTCTCACAATTTCCTCTTTGGCTCGTGGTGGTGAAATATCATTTCCAGAATGAGTTTCACAAACCCATTGTGTAGGTGTTTTTATCGGGAAGGTTGTGTGTTTTGCATATGTTCCTTTTCCATTTTCTACTGAGAAGCAGCTGGAAGCCAAAGAAGGCCCTATCCATCATCTCTTCTATGGCCGGACTCTGAACCTGGGCACAAGAATAGGAGCCTTTCACTCAAAAATAAAGGAGGAAATTCCATTGACATACCAGGGTCAATCACCATCCAAATGAACTTGAGAAGGGATACTTTTCATGGATTGAAAACACTTTCACTATTCATATTCAACTCAGTCTTTTCAGATGCAAAAAAGTTCATTATCAGACATTAAATGTAATTGTAAAACTGACCTGGAGATCATTTACTGAAGAAAAAATGGGGAGTTACGATGGTTCCTGATTTATTAAGCTTTTTTTATTTGGAATCCTCACAACCCTTCATTTGAAGACAGTCTCAAGTGAACAAATTTTAATTAGATAAACTATCTAATCAATATATCAACAGATCAATCAAAACAGCAGCTTTTAAAATGAGTGGCTAGAGGGGTGTTTCTGAAACTAATGGCTAGAAGAATATTTCCCTGAATTGAATTCATTTGTTAGCATAATAGGAGATTAAACTCTAATTAGTGTAGCAGGTTCTGAAGAGAAACAATTGTGAGCTAAAAATCACCAATGTTAGCCACATAAACAAAGATGTATTCATAGTTGTCATTCACTTTGCTTCAAGTGAGAAGTAACAGATTGCGATGTTGTTTTGTCTCAGAAGATCTATTAATATATCCGAGCTCCTGAAAATATGCAGACTTCTTAAATTCCTTTTTATTCTTCCTTTTTAGGTTGTTGTATCAACAACAGTCAATGTGGATGGCCACGTTCTGGCTGTCTCAGACAACATGTTTGTACACAACAATTCCAAACATGGAAGGCGGGCTCGCCGCCTTGACCCCTCAGAAGGTACGGCTCCTTCTTATCTGGAAAATGGTAGGCACACATTTACATGTCTTTTTTTTTTTTTGCAATGCTTTTTTTTTTTTTTTTTTTTTTTTTTTTTTCACCATTCTTTATGTTGATACACCATTACATTTATTTTTCCAGAATTTCTTCTTTCATCAATCAAACCACTCATTAAAAAGTCCATTACTATTTCTCAGCCCCTCTCAACCAGAATACGGTCACTTCTGAAGCTGCTTCTGACTCCTTTCTTTATTTAATACTTGCAGTTTTGCAGTCACAACCAATTTTTCTTTTTTTTCTGTTTTTTTTTTCTTTTTTTTTTTTTTCTTTTTTTTTTTTTTTTTTTTTGGTCTGGTTTTGCTTGCAGCTTTTTCTTGCTATTTAATTTGACTTGATTTTATTTTGGCTTGTCATATTCCTTGATCCAGAGGTACAGTCTCAGGTTATGTATGCAAGTTTAAGTGTATGGTAAAAACATGACCAAATCTGCAAAGAATTTACTGTGAGGTCAATTTCCTGTTGCTGGGCCTTACTGCTGCAGATTACAGCAGTGGCGTTTTTGTATGAGAAAAACAGCATAAAATGTTTTTCTTCAGACTGACTCAATGTGATTGACTTCTTGCCTGGACTGCTCAAAGAAGATAGGCTGAGATGAAGAAGAGATTGGGAAATGTCTCTGGAAATCCAGTGTCTTTCTGGAGCCCACCTGCCTCTGAGCCACTCACACACCGTTGCAGCGGCGCTCGTGCGCTAGCGCTCGTATCTCCGTGTACTTCCCCAGAAGTACAAAATAGCTGTTTAGATTCAGATATTGGTTCTCACTGCAAAGTACATCAGTGCATAGATACAAAACAGCTCTGAGGTGCTCTGGTTTTCATTAACGTGAAATGCGTAGAGGTCAAATGCATTCTGAGCTCTCAAGGAGTTAGAATGGCCAGAAGCGCTGGCACCGGAGCGCCCTGAGCGTGGCCACCCTGGGCATCCATTGCCACAGGGCTCCTCGTGTGAGCTGCTACTGCCACATTGATGGGATCGTGGCTTTTTACACTAATAAAGTTAATTAAAGTAATAACGGAACGCTAAGCTGCTAATACAATCATTGCCATTTTATGTTTCAAATGATACTTACCAATGGGCATACAGAAAAAATGAATGTGGCAAGCAATGATTGCCAGAACGAAATACAATCTAGACATCAAAAAAAGGAAAACAATTTGTGAATCTGCTGCAGTCCACACACACACAACTGATTTGTTTTTCTGCATTAATAACTAAGGTATAAGAGAACAAAAATATAATAATTAAAGGTCGCCCTGAGCGCAAGAGTCATTATGGTCTATGACGTATTGTTTATCTCTTTCATATGCACTGAAAGTAGGTGTGTGTTTTGCCTAGCAACCATCACTAATGAGGTTCACAATTAAGAAGGTTGAATCCTTTCCTCTAGTCCTCCCCTTCCCTAGAGAGAGAGAACTAGCAACATTATAGGTTCAAGTAGGCATGCTCAGCCCTGTGGTGTTAGGTTTTAGTCTGGGTCCAAATTCATCCTCTTCTAATGAGCTATTATGATCTTTGCAAAATACAAGTATTTATTTTGGTAAGCTGTATAAGAAAGAATTTGACTCTAAGCAGAAAATATCGCTTAGAAAAATAAAGGCCGCTTGTACATA